ATGAGTCAAATTTAAGAAACAACCCACTGTTAGAAAGCTGAATGGCTACGCTTTAAAATGAATGTAAACTTTAACGTTTTCGTCTATTATTTGTTTAGCAATTTACATTTCAGTCGAGGATTGCGCTTTTTCTGATACACCATATGTAATGGATCAGCATTGAAATTTCCAACACGGTTTCCGAGACGTAATTCACTGATTAACTTATCATTGCATTTGAACTATTACATCAGTTGGTGTTATACTGTGCGATAAGCTAATATTATTGAAAAGAGGGCTTCTATATACGTTGGAATCATCAAATAAGCAGCTCATGCACACATTTCTGCACTTTGTGGTAAGTTTACAAAGCATATTTTATACTTTGGGACTGATCTTTGTCTTTGATGTGAACATTTATTCTCATAGTTTAAAGTTATTTAAGATTGATACTGTCCTAAGTCTTCTAGCAGCAACCATTCAACAATATTTCATTTTGGCGCTGTCTTTGCCGTTACGTTGGCTTCGCGTTATTTTTGTTTTAACTTGATCGCGTTAAAAGAGTTATTTTTCAGGCCAGCGACATAGCTAAAAGACTTTGCATTAATTAATGTCCTTGACCTTGTGATTTTATAGAGATCGATATCTCTAGAACTGATGATTTAGAAAGCGTTATCTGTACCTTCTCAAAGTTGTAGACAAGATATGTTGTTACGTCCAACACGCATAAGATTGCATAAATCAAAATGATTCGAGCAAAACAGATCTCTTGTTAGAAGGAATAATGCTTAATAGAAACTGGTCTTTTGAGTGACATAATCGTGTATCGTCGTCGATCCGTATCGTTGAACAATGAAAAAATTTGTTGTAAAATTAGTGAAGATAAAATAGCATTTTGTGAAAAAACTGCGGGTCTGCGGAGTGGGAACTGTTCGGATTTGAACTCAGCATGTTCGAAAGTGTTAGTTCCCGTAAAAATATTTCAGATCTAAGACATACATCATGAAAGTGTGTCGGAAACTATAGAGATTAGGGGGTGATGACGTAGGTGACATATCACGTGATTCTTTTAGGTGCTATAATCTTAGTGATTTGGGGGTTGGGAATTAATAATAACTTTGTACTTGTTGGTGTTGGGTGTAAAAACTATCATATAGCGTACAAGTTTGTGACTCGTGATTTGTGACTTTGTGAAAGTGTGGATTTCTACAACGTGTTCCCCACATTATTGGCACCTCCGACAACGGGATAAATCAAGTCAACTGTGAAACTGTGAGTATGTTCAAATTGTTTTCTGCATGAAAAGCCTTGCGTGACCATTCGAGACTGTGAAAAACCGCGACTTTAATCATGTCCATGAAAAAGCAACTCACAGAGATAGACTCTAAGCTAGAAACTTTACGTCTTAAACTAAAGCAAGCCGAGGAAATCATAGCAAAACGTGATAGAGAAGCCGTCGAACAGCACCGGATTACCATTTTGAATTTAACTAGAGCTGTCGAAAATCTTCGTAGCTCTATCGAAGAACTAAAATTTAGTGCGGGTGAATCGGAAGAAACGGTCACAACATGGTCTCAGGAGATCGCGCAAGAGCTTTCCTACGCCGATAAATCTTGCGCTAAACTATCTAAGTGCGCTAAAGTGATTGACGATGAATTAAAAGCGGCTGAAGAAGCCAAACGGCAAGAAACTGTGATTGGATTTGAAAAACAATTGATACGACAAAAGCTTGAAGCCGAACTCAAACAAAAGGAGCTCAGTGTGAAATCCCCCGCGGCCGTAAAACTACCGAAACTTACAATAACCAAATTCAATGGCACTCCTTTGGATTGGGTTCTGTTTGAAGGTCAATTCAATGCGATGGTAGATAGTCAACAAGTAGCAGCTATCACCAAATTTTCTTACCTAAAGGAACTCGTTGTTCCACGTATTAGAAGTGCGCTTGACTGTCTGCCATTCACAGATGAAGGTTATGCACGCGCCATAATTAAAAGTATTTACGCGAGAAATATGGTCGCCCTAGTGAAGTTGCCGGCCACTATATCATTGCTTTGTTAGAGTTACAGCCTGTTACCGAGCGCGATGTTCGTAAAATACATAAATTTTATGAACAACTATTGTTCAACGTCGAGAGCCTCCGCACACTGGGGAAACTTGAGACGATTGAAGGTGCTTCCTTTCACATCATAATTAAGAAATTAGAGGTTTTAAAAGCCGAGTTAGTCACGCATGTTTCGGGTGATTCGAGAGATTGGTCATTTTCAGAACTGCTCGAGGCTTTAAGAAAATGGACGGAGACAAATGCGTTTATTAAAACCGAAAAACGAAACCCTAGGCGACCAGAAATCTCGAACGGGAGTACATTTCACTCGCGTGATTCTAATGTGTGTGTTTATTGTCAAAGTACCGATCATAAGACCACCCAGTGTAATGTAATTTCATCGCCTGAAGGTTGATAACAAGCTTGGTTGATAACAAGCTTTGCTTTAATTGTGCCTCGGGGCAACACGCAGCCAGCAGCTGTAAAAGTAAAATTTCCTGCCAAAAATGTAAAAAAACGGCATCATACGTCCATTTGCTTAAACCCTGAAGACAACGGTGAACTGGCGATCACTTCAAACGTTAATTTAAGGGGGTCTTCCACCCTAAAAACATTTTTTTCAATTTAAAGGTTTTATCATCATATTTGACTCAAATATGATGGAATATCCTCAGCTGACGCAGGATCAGTAACTTTTACATTCGTCGTTGCCATAGTAACTAAGATAGGCCTCGCTATAGGGTAAAATATAGGGTTTGCTCCAAAAATGATGTGAGCCAAACAAATTTACGGAGGATTTTAGAAACAGCTTTAATGGACACTTAATACATCGATCTATGTCATGAACCTAAAAAAATATACAAGTAATATAATAAGGCCTTCATATTTTACTTTTTTAAAATTATATGAAGAAAGGAGTTCTTATAAGGCTACTCTTGCAATGTATATTGCTGATATATGAAGTTTTTTAGGTCCATGTCATGGCTATATATGTAACAAGCAAATAAACTCTGAAAATTTCGAACGAATTGATTCAGTATGAACAGTAGGAGAGTTTTTGTATCTACGAAGCAGATATATATGCTATCGCAAACGTGACCGTACCGTATGTTAACAGATAGCCATTCAGCGACGAGCTTATATAATTTAAGCCAATTTAAGCCAATCAGCGATTCGTTTACATCAATTGTTTACATCGTGCCCGCATCTAACCTGCGAACGGGCATACTTTAGCCTCGTCAGGCCTCGTGTATAAATCGTGTTATTCTTTCAAAAATATCTTTATATTTTTATCAATTTATCTCGAATTGGCTGTCTTTTTTTTATTCCGAAGTTCTTTATCAACATGGAATCTTATCCTCATCTGGTAAGTAGTCAAATACCACATATTATATATTTAAATACCAAATTTGTGCAAATATATGTCCCACATATTTTATAATACACGAG